TATAGGCCTGTTCACCCCTGTAAAAGTACAGGTGGGGAGCGCTCCACAAGTTTTCATTTTCTGCTGGCAGGACTTTTCCATGTAAAATATCTCCAGAATTACTGTTTGTGTCCTACAAGCTTGTGTTTCCATAGGTGCATTTATTTCTGAAAATTGCCATCTCAGGAAGAAGGAATTTCTTTTTTTTTTAACTGGGTAATACGACAGCAAACAGATGGATCTTTTGAAAAGGTTTCTGAAGTAGAGCTTACAGACATAAAGCCTGTACTCCTTATCTTGTCCCTGCCTGGGCAAAATTCCTCCCAGTGGCAGTGGCCCAAAAGCTATGAAAATTAGAAAATTTAATGGCATTTCACAATAATTTTTCGTAACAAGGATTACATTTTTAGGAAGAGCATACCCTCCTGCAACAGGATAACATTTTAATTGGTGTCTTTAAATAAAATCTTAGTAGGTAGATTGATTGCAATGAGGGTTCCAACGCAGGAATAATATGTTGTTTTTGTTTCAATTTTGCTCCCAGTTCCAATTGCCTGATCAAAGAATTTGGGTAAGTTCATTGCTTATATTTTTGACTTAATCACTGTGAAATATATTGCATAAGAAAAATATAATATGAAAGATAACTTACCACTCAATTATGGAGCATGCCATGCTGTCCTACAGGGTGTTGTAGCTGTTGCAGATAAATATCCTCTTGTGTCGAATTGGCTTTATTTTTACATACCTGATCCTGCTGGTTTTATTTGGCAAGGGCAATAGGAGCTTTACCTGAGTGAGGGTTTCAGAATGCAGTCTTTGTTTATGTGTAACTGAAATTGTTCCAAGCCATTTCCTTCAGAGATGGCAGTGAAATTTTCAGGCTGAAATCTTGTTAGATTGCAATAGTTAATAAATATTTAATCTGCATTAAAATACAGAGCCTCAGAGGGCTTCATGTTTCCCTCTCTCTCTCTCCTTGACTTCAGTGGGAGTTAGTCACTTTAATAGTCACTTTAATAGTCACTTTAATAGCTTTGAAATTTGGAGCTTAATTGCTCATTGCGGTGCTTAAAGCAGAAATAAAACGCCCATTTATTTGCTGTGTTTAGGTCAAATTTGTCCTGTGTGTGTACTTACATCGCCCCCCTAAAACGAACAGGAACTGTGCTTTTAGTACTATGGGATAAATTTGAGCTCGCTCTTCTATTTTTATAAAACGTTATTTTTAATAGGTCTAAATTGTTCATGAATAAAAAAAATTAAAGAGAGAGCTGCAGCAACTGCTTTTGCAGATGCAACTCAAATAACGCCGTGTTCTGCTCTTGCGTTGCTGGCTCCTCAGCTGCAGTGCCGAACCCATAAATACTCGTCCCAGATTTTTTTCCCAACCTTTGGGCTTGGGAGGGGAGAGCTGGAGCCAGGAGGCTGCGGGTCCTGACTCACTTGCTCGTGGCTCGCAGAGCGACGTGGACTCATTTCACAAGACAAAGCCAGAATTTTGCAGAGTGAGCCCCGGGACCTTCACGTGCTCCTCCCCACGTGCACGGGGCTGGTGTGGGAGCCCCCAGAGGTGCCGCCCCTGCAGATGAGCACTTAGCCCTGCTCTCCGTTCCCTGCCATCTTCAAAAGCAGTGATGGACCTTTGCTTTGTGCACACGTGGCTTTTAATCCCATTGTCTTTCTGTAAAGTGATGGTTTATGCTACAAGAGATACACTGGGACCCTGAGCCGAAAGGAGCTGAGGCACTGAGGGACTCCTGTGAGCACCCACGGGTGCTGAAGGAGCTCAGCAGGCAGGAGGTAGCGTTAGATGTCAGACTGGGAGAGCACAAGAGCTGGTTTCCAAACACTGTCTTTGCTGTAGAGGGAATCCAGTGTAGGACATGAAGGGGCCATGGTGGAGTTTGTGATTTGGCACCCTTAATGCTCCGCTCTCAGAAAAGTGGCTCATTTTGGGGATATTTGGGAATTTGAAAAACCAAGCGCAGTCTGTTCCCTCTGACTGCTTTCCTTGACCTTGGCTTGGTCCTCAAATTTCCATCATCCTACTTCTTTTGTGAGTGTACAGCTCCTGGCCATGTTCGTGCTTTGAGCAGATCCAGCAGAAATAGGTGTTTAAAACATAAAGCCACTGAGCAGGATGCTGATTCATGGATGAATCTCCATCTTGGGAGATTTGAATGTGTCACACAAGCCTTTCTGTCTCAATTCCCAGTTGCATGCGCCATATATTTCAAGATTATTTGAGATAGTTTTTCATTGTTTGGCAGGAACTCTATAGTACAAATCAATGGCCAACACCCTTTCTTGAATGGATCGGGATTTATTTGATCTGCTGACTCTTTTATCCCCCCTGGTCCCCTCAGGAGAAAGTTGCTATAAAGAGGTTCTGTAATAATAGGCACCCATTATCTGCAATAGCTTTATGGGAAATCATTTAAAACAATTTTACAGATAATTGAAAAGGAATTTGGTGAGTGCATTAGCAAAGTTTTTGTTTTGCTGCGCTTATTTTTAGGGCACAATCCATTCCGTTAGCTCAGCTAAATCCCCACCAACTGCATTCATACTAATAAAGTTATTCTGGAACCATACTGCAGATCAGCAGGAGTTCCTCGCTACTGCTTCATAGAGTTCAGCCACGTGTGATGGGTCCCTTGAACGTGAGCGTAGCTCAGCCAAGTTCCAGGACTGGATGTCCAAATACACCCAGTTACAAGACAACAAATTCACAAGTTGTAGTTTTTAGAGGCAGCGTTATAACTCGAGCTGGGGAGGGAGAAATCCTGAGCTTTAGTAGTCGGATTTTGAAGATTTCTCCAAATAACAGTAGTAAAAATAGAAAGCGAACACTTGAACAGTTTTTTTTTTTTTTCCCAGGAGTTGCAGCCGTAAAGTCAGTTGTTTTTGTGACAGTAGCAATGAGGGAGTCGCCCTTGTGAAACGTGAGGTCACATAATTCATGACATTGTCTGCGAGATTACTCCGTATCATCAGGTTATTCTTAAAAAACAACAACAGCAAACCTCTGCTTAATTTATGCCACTTTTTCCTTGGTTGGTTAATAAATTTTAAGACAAATGCTCCAGGCCCCTGCTGATGATATCTTGCCCGTTGAAATGTTTATAAATACTTGTTTTAGCCGATTATGGTAATGTCTGCATTTTTGAGTCGGAGCTGGGGAATTGTGACTGCACATTAGTTTGCGTCAGTCGGAGGTTAATAGCCTCTCAGGGAGCAGGAGGGAGGTGGGGGAAAGCTGCTTCCTTTTCCAGACATCTGGACACAGATAGAATCAACAACTCTTATATATGTAAATCAAAAGTTACTGTGCTATATAAAATACCGTCGTTCACTGATCTCAGATTAGGAGCAGACATGACTTGTCCATAAGGCAAAAGCTGTATGTAAAATAGGTAATAGGATCTTCTCACTCTCCTACCTCCTCGGAGAGCTTTCTCCATGGACATGGCAATTACACTAATCCCATCCTCGGGGTCAAGCAGTGCCTTCCTCCCCATGCCCTGTTCAGGTATCACAGCCCCCAGGCGCTTGGCTGGGGTGCAGACCCCCCAAAAGCACTGACTGGTGGCTTGAGCCACGTGCCTGCTTCCCTGGTGGTCCCCAGGGACCATCCCTGGAGAGGTGAGGTGACCATGAGCACCCACATAGCCTCCCAGGACAGATGCTGTCACTAACAACTTGCTACAGGAGTTTGGAGGATTGAGACCAGTAGCATCTCCATGGCCCACACAACCCCTACGGGGGCACGTCTTGCTGTGCCATCAGCAGTATAACGGTGTTTTGAAGGAGGAAGAGCTACTTCAGTTGTGTTTCAACTGGAAGAGGGAGTTCCAATCGCAGAAGCAGAAAATCATCTCCTAGGTTAATATTTAGTCATTGAAAAAAGGAGGCGGGGAAAAAAGGGTAAGAATAAAGTAGTGATTTTTACAATCATTGGAGATTATCAGTGAGTCCACCTTGGGGTGTCTTTGAGCTCTGAACTACGGCCTGTGTCTGTAAATGCCATAGGAAAAAAGATGATCAGGAAAAGAGCAGATTTTGTGACTGTTTACTGAGAACAGCCAAATCCAAAGTTGTCTATGAAGGTTTTGCAGAACAGTCAGAGAAAGCTGAGTCACCAGGATTAAAACAGCAATAAAACTTAATGTCAGTAAATACCCAGTAATACCAAGGAGAAAGTGTGACTCTTAACTCATGTCATTCAGGAAAAAGATCTTGAAGTTAATAGTTCTATGAAAATATCTTCTCAGTGCTTAGCAGAAAGAAATTGAAAACATCATTATGTTATAATGCCTTCAGGTCTTAAATACAGCCGAAGTCCCCCTCAGAAAGGACATAGAATTAGAAAAGACACAGAAAAGTGCAACAATGGTGATCAGAGGTAGGGAACAGCTTCCACACAAAAAGAGACTAAGTAGATTTTGATTTTTTCAGCTTGGAAAAAGATGCCCGAGGGAGCTGTGCCCCAGCT